ATATCAATTTTCGTGGATTTCATGGGTAAAGGTGACCCACAAATTCAAATGTTCAATGAAATACAAATGTTCTATAGGCTTGTATGCAGACTTTGGCAAAACCACAAAATCAAATATCCACGAAAATGCAATGTTTCCTCAATCCACGAAAATTGATACCCACGAAAATAAATGAATTCACAGTACTGATGGATTCAGTCGAGCATTATGCCAGGCAATGGGTGAAACGCTAGAAAGAAGACGTAGATACTCTTTCTGAATAGATTGAGGCTGTGAGGTTTTTGATACAAATCATAATTAAAAAGACCCAAATGTTGCAAAACACCTTTCCTACCTTCATGACAAATATGTTGTTAACTCCACAGATAAAGCCCCAAACAACGTCGTTTTTGTGTGTAAATCACATTACATAAACTGCTTAATAAATGAATTAGGTATTGACAATTCACTTGGAAACTCAACATATATCCTCACGACACTTACCAAGGGGAAAATCCTTGATAATCATTGATCTGTTCTATGTTCCCTTGGAATTTCAACCTAAAATGAAGAACTGGATCTTCCTTCACTGTATTGATTACCTAAACTACACAGCTGTCCTCACAAACAACTTTATATTGCTGGGTCTTCCAAGTGCTAAATTATTTACATCAATTTTATCAGCAATCAAAGCCGGGCTTCAAAGTTATTGTGAAACTATCTTTTCTAGAGGTGACGTGAAATAAGTGTGGATACTAAAAAAATGTAAAGATCTTTTAGAGAACATACAATCTAGACTCTTTTTTCTTGCAATAGTATTTAAACATATGACTTTTCTATACTTTTCAGAAGTATTCCCCATCCAAACTAAAAGACAAATTGAAAAAGGTGGTCCTGCTTTGTTACACAAAAAGAATGGTTGACGTACAAATACCTTGTCTTAGGGATAGATAAATCGTACTTTCTAAAACATCACTCTGATTCAAATAAATTTTTTTCTGAAACTAACATTATCAAGATGCTTGATTTCTTGATAGACAAAGTATCTTTTACGTTTGGAGGACGTGTTTTTCAAAAAAACAATTGGCATTCAAATGAGAACCAACTGTGTTGACCTTCTTGCCGACTTGTTTCTTTATTCACATGAGTCTGGCTTTATACAGGAACTTCTTAGGAAGAGAAGTGAAGTTAGCAGTATCCTTTAACTTCACTTTCAGCTACATGTATATAGATGATATTCTCTCACTAAATAATTCAAAATTCGGTGACTATGTTGAACGCATCTATCCCATCGTACTTTCGATAAAGGTTACAACAGATACAGTCTGCCTCATATCTTGACTTACATCTAGAAATTGACAATGAGGGTCGGTTGAAAACAAAACTTAACGACAAAAGAGATTATTTCAGCTTCACAATTGTGAACAGAGATGATTTCAGCTTCCCAATTGTGAACTTTCCATTTTTATGTAGCAACATTTCTGCAGCGCCTACATACGGAGTTTATATCTCCAAATTGATACGATATTCATGGGTTAGTATTTCCTATCATGATTCCCAAGGGTTGCTGTTAACAAGGAAGTTATTTAACCATGAGTTCAAAGTAGTAAAGTTGCAATCATGCCTTCGTTAATTCTAGGGACGTATTAAACTTACATCCGGGTGTGTACTTATATGTGCAACACAACGGGTGCCACATGTGGAGAAGGATCTGTTTACCCTTCCTGAGCACCTGAGATCAACTCAAGTTTTTGGTGGTTTGTGTTGTCTTTAGTTTTCTTTGTCGTCTTTTTTGTGCTGTTGTTTGTCTGTTTCTTTTTTTAGCCATGGCGTTTTCAGATTATTTTTGATTTATGAGTTTGAACGTCCCTTTGGTATCTGTCGCCTCTCTTGTAGAGATTAAGATTATAAAAAAAATTATTACATAAATAGCAGAAGTCAATTATCAAGTAAGAATCAGTCATCATGGTCATAGTTGTATGTATTTTAGTTGAATTTTTTATCATGAGTATTGTTTCGATCTTCTTGTTTTACAGTAACGTCTAGTAACATATGTAATTATACATAAGTGCTTTCCAATTATGAATGCATATCCAATTGAGAGAATAAGGTAGTTTGCATTTGTTTTATACATAATTTTGTTCGTTAAAGGTACTAGTATTATTAAGTAAGTACATTGTAGTACGCACTTAAGCCAGCATGTCGCAATGCTATATAACATTTCAAATTTAATTGTAGGAGTCGCATGCACTTAGTTATCTTGATATCAGTTCATCAAAAGCCAATAACCATATATCTGATTAAACAGTTGAAAACAATATAAAAATATGCTTTAAAATAGTTTTGCAGTAAAAATGAAGTTTAAAAACGTAAATCGAAAATACCAGGTAGACATAAAAGCATGAGCATTTATGAAATAAATTGTGTAATCAAATGAGAAGAAAAACAGTTGAAAGCGCATACTTTAAGGATGTTTGCTACTCAGTTTTGAAATAACAAGCTTTTTTAAAGACTGTTATAAATTGATGGTATATGAATAAAGGAACAAAAAAGCAGCAGAAAATGAAGGATCCGTGTGCTTGTTTTCGAGATATAAGCCACTGAAAGTTTGGCGGGAAATGATTCTCTCTAGATTTTTCATACATTTAACATTGGCAGCTTTTTTCTTTCATAAACAATGAAAAAATAACAAGGATTTCATAAGATTTTCAAAGAAGGCATTTCAAACTAAATGTAATCAACTTATGGAAAGAAAAGTGGGGGTTAGCGGGCAAAATTTTTAATGGCACTACATGGATAAAACCAGAGGATTCCAAATATCTGGGAAAAATTCAAAATCAAGTGGAGTGAACATCCTTAAGTCGGAATGGTAAAAGGTGCACTTTTTTTAAGCAATATTAGTTCATAAGGACAATGTTCATTACATTATGCAAAATTAGAAAAGAGTGTATAACATAAGAGACATGCATTCATAAAATCAAAACCAACACATATTGATCAATACGACTTTCACATTCGTTCATTTTCCCGTACACTTCCGGTGTCATAATACCTATGCATAGTAATGGAAAAGACGATTGTTCATTTACTCCCATTTACCTAGGTTGATTAATATACCTTATCATGAAAAGAAACTAAAATTAAGTGGTTTTAAGATCAATTGAGGCCCATTTTTGGTCCAAGTTTTAGAGAATTTAAAATTTACTGATAATGTAGGAAATGTCCATAAAATGAAATAAGGAAGATTTACAAAGTTACGACGTCATGATAATGTCACGGAGACGAAGAAAAATTCCGACTTATGCAGTTTTCGTTTCATATTTTCTTGTTTGGAAAAATTGTCCGCAGCCAAATAACAAAATTTTTCAATAAAAAGCTTGCTCTTCATAATGTACTCAAAATATGATACGAAAAAAAAAAAGAAATCAGGAAATTATATAAAATCTACTATAGTCGTTTTCGTTTGTTGATGTGGTAGTTCATTAAATGTGAAATGTGTTTCCTTAATGCTAACGTTATATAAGGGTTAATTGTAAAGAAGGTACAGTTACTCATAAATTTGCACTATATTTGGGGCCAAAAATGGAACTTTTTGCACCTTTTCATTTTTGTTATTTACAAACGCTTCTACGTTTTTATATGAGATACTGATAGTCGTCTGAGTAGTCGTTTTGTTGAGGCAAAAATCAAGATTGTCCAGTTTGCTATCATTTCCTGGTGTTTTAATAAAAACAGACATTCATTAGAAGAATTATTTTTTTCAAAACAACAATAGCATATAATCTCAATTTTGGACACAACAATAGCAAAAAACGTATTACGGATGGAAGATCATAATGTGTTCTCTATCTAAGTGTTTACCTTGATTTAGTTCTAAATGGTTTTTGCTTTGTGACAATGGATTTGTTTCTAAACTGTTGGAAGGCGAGCTGAATTAAAAACAATTCGATTTTGCTTTTGCTTTTTTCGTTTCTTGTATTATGCAACTTTGTTTTTGTTTGTTATCTGTTATCTTTCTTTAAATAATTTGCTTTGTTTTTGTTTTGTGACTACTTGACATTATTACCTTTCCTGTTGAATTCTTAAAACTAAAATTACTTAACGGATTTGAATAGGACAAATACAAGTAAGGTTAGATAATCGGTAAAGTTGGAGGTTGGGGAACAAACCAAAACAAAAAGACAAGAAACTGTTCACAATGCAATACATTTAAACTTAGTTTGAAGTCTCTCTAATGAATCAAAGGAATAAGTCAACAAAATGTGGTGTCAAGCGTTATCACGTGAATGCAAAATTTCTGTTGAAAAAAAAACACGCCTATGAAATGAAAAATATAAAACAATTCAATTGAGAAAACTAACGGCTAATTTATAACAAAATAATTTACGATAAACAAATATGACAGACATGAACAAAAGAAATCCACTGAACTACAGGCCCCTGACTTGGGACAGGCACATGAAGAATGTGGCGGGGTTAAATATGTTTGTGAGCGCTCAACCCTCTTCTAACCTGGGACAGTAGTGTTAGAGTACAACATAAGAACAAACTATAAAATTCAGTTGAAAAGGACATAACTCATCAGATCGATACAAAATATATTGAATGTTTACGTACAGCAACAAAGATTTTCATGCAAAGTAAGGATGTGTGAATATTATGTTTCAGGTATAATAATTATTAAAAGTTCTAAATATGTAAATCACAGTGATAAAAGATAAAACAAATCATACGATTTTCTCGTTTGAATTATTTGACATTGGTCATTTCGGGGCCTTTTATAGCTTACTTTGCGGTATGGCTTTGCTCACGTTATCATACCTCATTTTCTTTGTTTTATATACTAACATTAAAACTATGTTTTTGTAGTTTCCATTTTTGATATTTAAATTCTCTAATTTGAAAAGGACTTTTAAAGATTTTGAGCTTTGCAATATATTAATTAATCTTTTGTATTTTAGATTCTAAATTTCAATTTCAACGTTATTTTTATAATTATTCTAGACACTTTTCAATTTTAGAAAAAGAAGCAGCTCAGTTTAATCAAGATCTTTCCGAAGTTGAAATTTTTGCTGTATCGTACAATATGGAGGAGATAACGTCTTCTGACATCGATCATTTGTCAGATATAGATTCAACTCATTCACAGAACATCATCAAGTTTATTGTGTTGTGTCGTTTAGAAGCATGTGAGAAATTTTTACATCAGGTAAATAATAAAAAGTTAACGTTGAAGTAAAAATCGTGAATCTTAATACAAGTACTTTGTTTCACTTTTTAGCATTTACAGAATCTGTTTTTAAAAGAGGTAGACAATACTAAATAAGAAGTCTCATATAGACATATGTAACAGGAAATTAATAAAAATCGTAACTTTTTGATGTAAGTACAAATTGATAAAGGCTGTGAATATAATCAAATCACTATTACTCTTCATTTGTTGTAGCCTTTTGATTTTGGACGAAAGCATGTATGGCGAAACTCTCTGCTTCATTTTTCAAGATGGCTAGTGGGTGTTTTCCATAGAGATGGACAGAATATTTTTGAAGGCAATTCTAATATAACGTTCGACAATATAGCAGTAATACATTATTTCACTGCATCTGGAAATCAAAAACTCAATCAAACGGTAATAATGAGTAACGAAGATGAATTTAACGTCTGTTTTGTTTTTATTCTTTTCCTCTTTTAAGTTTAAAATTAGTAATTCAACATACACTACATGTAATTAATGTTATCACTTCGTAGCCGCGCCTAGCATACCAAATTATAAAAAAAAAACAACCATCAAAGATACCAGACTTATTATTTGGTACGCCAGACGCTTGTTTCCTCTTCACAAGCCTCATCAGTGGATCTCGAATCAAAACAGCTGGGAGGCAAAATCAAAAACCAAGTTGAAGATCATCTAAAACCGAAAATTCAGAATATTTTTTCCAAGTATGACGAAGGCAATCTTTGAAGTGTTTCGAATAATTCAACATTTTATAGGCAGTCAATTGATAGAAAAGGAACATAGCAATGATATATCATGTCAACACAAAAGTGCATATATAATATATTTGCAAGTTCAGTACCACCCATATCTTTTAAAAAAGAAATTTTCATATCCAAATATCTAATATTACGCGTGATTTTCAAAATAAGGCGATATTATCGTGTTCAGGATGTCATCCCAGTATCTTTATCTATTCAGGGTACAATCAATAAAATGCATAGCAAGCTTACAAGCCTTACTTTTGAACAGCGGTATACTACTGTTGCCTTTATTTAGAGTCATTTGGAAAACATCTCCATACTGTTACACCGCCGCAACCGAAAGCTGGTGTACCAAGAATGTAAACATCTCATGGTGTTTATATAAAGAGATGATTTTTTCATTTCATATTGTTAATTATCCATTTTTAGATGGTGACGTTCCCTTGTCACCATCTTACGGTGTTTATATATCTCAACTTGTTCGATTCGCTCGTGTATGCAACAACATATTTGATTTCAACGGAAAAAGTCGCTGTACTGCTGAAAATTATTACACCAGGGTTTTCGATATCACAAACTTGTCAAAATATTTAATAATTTTTAATAAATTTTATCATCGGTACAAGGACATCATTCGTAAATATGAATCAACCTGCAGACATATTATACGTTCAGGTATTTCACATCCAATCTTTTATGGTAATATTCTATACAAAGCACAAACATGTCGTCATTCAATTCAAAAGCTAACCAAACCTTTAAACAGACTTATTCAGAAGGTATAAAGTTACGATACTGTTTTTAGGTCATTAAAGATGGCATTATTTGGAATTACTATTGATCCACTCAGGGTCTTTGCAACGGAAATAAACATATTTATTCTAAAACCAGTTGTTGGCATGATACGGGTTATGTTCTTATCTTTTCTTTTATGATGGTATGATACTAAACCCCTAACGTGAGGGATTGTACTTGATTTAAATATGATGAAGATATGCTCTTTCAATCAGTTTAATTGAGGTCTGGAGCTGGCAAGTAAGCCAGTAACTGCTAGTAGTCCTTTGTTAATTTATGTTGATCATTGTCCTTTTGCTTAGTTTCTTCTGTTACCTATTCTAACATCGGACTCGGACTTCTTTTAAACTGAGTTTTACTGTGGGTATTGCTCTGTGTTTGTTTATTCTACATTGGCTAAAGGTATAGAGGGATAGAGAGTTTAGATCTCACAAAACATGTTTAACACCGCCGCATTTTTGCGCCTGTCCCAAATCAGGAACCTCTGGCCATTGTTAGTATTGTATGTTTTTAAAATTTTGGTTCATTTATATGTTTCGGAGTTTAGTGTGACGTCCTTTTTCTCAGAACTTGTACACATTTTTGTTTAGGGGCCAGGTGTAGCCCACCTCCGGGTGCGGGATTTTCTTGCTGTGTTGAAGACCCATTGGTGGCCTTGGGCTGTTTTCTGCTCTTTGCTCGGGTTGAAACTTTGACAAATTCCCCGTTTCTATTCTCAATTTTATTGTTCCGTTATAAGATGTGTCTTACCCTCCAAAACCCGGGTTAGGCGGTCGACGGGCTTCAACAAAAAACGACTTTCATCGGACCTGTGAATTCTTCTCCAGTTGCGTAACGTCCATCGGCGGTGGTTCCTAGCCCACTGTTATCTAAGTGGTTTATTGGCCTTCGAGCCCGTAGAAGCCGACGTGCTAAAATCATTTATGTTTAATCTATAACAGTAACGCGAAAAAACACATAGGACCGGTTTTTGAAATTGGTTTTTAAACAGTCAAAATGTAATCGATTGACATTTTATCTGTATCCAATAGTTACCTTATTATTTAATAGTTTTAATACACAGTATTTCTGTAATAAACAAAATTCATGAAGAAAAAAATATTTTGAAATTTAATGGGGTGGTGCTGAACGTATGGCGGAGTGAATATAAGCCTGATATCTTTAATGAGTTACAACTACTATGTCTTTTTTGCTTTCTTTGTTTTCGGCAACTTCAATTTTATAAACTTCCTGCCATCAAAAAAAGGTTGAAATATACCAACGGGACATTCAGGTCTCATTATTCAAACGGTAACTGTCAACCCCACAGCCAAAAAAGAAAGACGACGAAAGTCCATAAAACAATCCATAAAAAAAAGACTGAGCAATACGAACCCTACCAAAAACGTGTCATGAATAAGTAAGGAAAACGCGTACAAATGTAATAAAATACACAGTTACACACTTAACACGACATATCTGAACATGAAAATATAATGTGTATAGATAAATGTATTTAGTAATAGCAGTAGCTATTATATAATCTTTGTTTTCGCCTAAATTGTACAATAACTAAAAACGTTGACGTGAATTCTGTCTCACCCTGAAGAAGAAGAAAAAATGGCGAGACTAAGGATTGCTGTTTCAGGTAGGAGTGGCGGCGTCAACAATGTTTTAGTTTGTGATTTATATCAGTTTAAGAGAAACCACTAGCGGTAGGTCAATGATATTTCGTATGCAGTTGTATTATTGGCACATCTCATTTCAATGGAGATTTTTTGGATAATTCCCCTTAGTTACGGTTTATCAACTCTGAAACTTTTGCATCGTTTACATGTTCAAGTTTGTGATTAGTTTAAGATATCCCACTTATGGTTAGTCAATGATATTTGGTATGCAGTTGTATAAGATTTGAAAGTCTCATGTCCATGGAGATTATGTGGTCCCATCCCTTTTTTATGGTTCATTCACTTTGAAACTTTTGCATAATTTACGTGTAAATGTGTGTGTGTGTGTGTGTGTTGCCGTCAGTTTAAAGAGAACCATTTACGATAAACCAATTAATAAATTGTGTTTGGTATGAAGTTTTATTCACATTGGTATTTCTACACAGAGGTTATTTGATCCTGCACCTTTAGTCTTGGTTTATTGACTTTCAATGTTTTGCATAGTTTACATTATAACATATTGCTATTTGAATTTTAATATTTGCATTATAATTTCAAAATTACACATATCTCTGAGTCAACAGTTAAATTTTAGCATTATTCAAAAAACAAATTTGGATGGATACCAATCGAGACATTAATGTGGAGGGAATCAACACGACGAGAATTATCAAAAATTGGATACGTTAACTTGAATGGAAGTTTACTCCTCCAAAAAGATACAACAATCTTTCATAATAATGGAAGTGACCATCTTGAAAGTTTTATCTACCCAAATACAGAGTTTGGGTTTAACCAGAGGAAATTCCTGATGGGCACATTGCCAGTAGGTAGTTTTTTTGTAGTATATGATTGTGACATTCATTGTGTACAATATGTTAAATCAGATGGATGAAAAGGATGCGTTGGATATACGCAAATGAGACGGCAGCCAAATGGCACAAAACCAGATGACATATTGAAGTTAATCTACGGTCTTTAACCGAATTTTTGTGAGTTGTAAATTTTGCGTATCTTTAAAAGAGGGACAAAAGATACCAGAGGGACAGTCAAACTCATAGATCGAAAACAAACTGACAACGCCATGGCCAAAAATAAAAAGACAAACAGACAAATAATAGTACAGATGACACAACATAGAAAGCTAAAGACTAAGCAAACACTTTAAGTGTTATGAAGAAATCTAACACAACAATTATTAATTTTTCACCAACACATGTATATTGTTAATTTTTCCATATAACAATATTGGATATAGGCATTTATAGAAAAAAAAATGAAAATAACACGTTATAAATTGTATGCGTCATAAGCTCTTTTCTGGATTTACCTTCATCAGAAACGCTTTAAGCCGAATATTTGAAAGCCAAGGATGTATAAGAACCGAAATATTTTGAAGAGCTATATAACCAAAAGGACCTAAATAAATATGAAAATTAAACGGTTTCGAAAAAGGTAAAAAATGAAAACTTGTAAGAATCCCCTGTATCCGCTCGGCCGGTGATATCGCGCATTATCTGATGTCGCCATATCCGCAATGTAACACAAATAGAATCGTTCTTGTAATTGTTTTAGTCTTCCGAAGGGACAAAACAGATGAAAATTGATAAGTTTAAGAATGAGTTTATAATTGCAATCCCATGATTACCGTATTTAGACATTGTCCATTAATTAAATTACATAATCAGATAAAAACTGGTTTAATTTTAAGTCACATGTCTATCAATATGAAATAAAGTTTGCTCCGCATCCTTGGCAGTTTGTTTTTTTCAACCTGAACTATATTTCGAAGTATAAAATCTTTGCTGTATTAAAAATTAGCTATTTTTAGAAGGCATGCGGGAATTCACAGGACATTCGAAGAACTGTCAAAACAGGGGTTTCCCTAATTTTGGACACACATTACATAGAATCTTAAGGGTGAAACCATACATAAAGAAGATTTCATAAAATTAAAGTATGTCATGAATTTGTTCACACAATATTATCTGATTATTGGTTTTATGAGATTACCAAAGTGAAGCCATTAGTCTTAGGTGCGCGGATACACCGGCCTGCACCTTACATATTTATTTTACACAACACAATAAATTAATAGCTGTAATATCTTTTACTAGTGGGCACCGTTTGTGGAACTTGACGAAGAAAGGAACCAATATAGTGGCCTCACCATCGAAGTAATCCAAGAACTATCACATATACTTAACTTTACGTATGTATCAGCTGTTATCGTTGAAAATTCTATATGCACATATCAAAATTTTGAAAAACAATGCTGTTCATTTATTTGGTTTTTGTACTTGCAAGTTAGGGCACCATGTTTTATATATCTCGGTTCCTGTCATCTATTACATATGTCTTTGAATAAAGGGAGATATATTAGTATTTCAATGAAATAATAACCTACCTCGAATAGCATTGAAACCATGATATCAACATACGGTTAACCATAGACAACTGTCCTTACCCCTATATGAAGCCCGGAATCGCTCTAAGGCTAGCAAGTTTGAATGAATGTATCGTAAACAAACAAAAATCCTGTCATAACACCAATGTCATTAAAGTATTTTTGATTTTTTAACATTGAGAGTCACCACATTGAGATATAACTAACGACGACCGCTGTTAATGCTTCATACTTGAAAAGGGCACCTTAAGATATGGCAGAGTTAAATTAATTGTTTAATATCATACGCTCCTTTTCAGGGTTCGTGAAGTTCCCTCATGTTTTTGTTTGTTTCTTTGATTTGTCTTCCTTATCGATAAATGAGATTTGATCATCAGTAAACTACTGTTGCCTTAATTTATACCCTCCTTCTGTTTATCTTGATCAGTGGAGTAACATGCAGTTCATTTACTTAATTTATACCCTCCATCTGTTTATCTTGATCAGTGGAGTAACATGCAGTTCATTTACTTAATTTATACCCTCCTTCTGTTTATCTTGATCAGTGGAGTAACATGCAGTTCATTTACTTAATTTATACCCTCCTTCTGTTTATCTTGATCAGTGGAGTAACATGCAGTTCATTTACTTAATTTATACCCTCCTTCTGTTTATCTTGATCAGTGGAGTGACATGCAGTTCATTTACTTAATTTATATCCTCCCTCTGTTTATCTTGATCAGTGGAGTAACATGCAGTTTATTTATGGACGTACAGATCAGTTAAGACAAAGTACCTGACTTAATAGAAATGTGCATTAGTACAAAAAAGATGGGTAAGGGCAAAACGGTTAATAGTAGTAAATGACATTGAATATTTTTACATACTTATTCAAGAAAATACAATTTTAAATGCAAATGAGACGAAACAGCTTCACCATTCCAGATATGTATTAAAAGCACCATCTGATGGAAAATGGGGAGCAGACAAGGGAAACCAGTCGTGGAATGGTTTGTTGGGGGAGATTCAACGTAGAGTTAGTATAAAGTTGAATTCTTAGTAATGTATTATTCTATTGCGCGGCGATGACTAAGAATTCATTGAAAAAACATAATATCTTAATAATCACATTCAAAATTTAATGTAATAGAAATACCAATGTTGAAACCTTATCACAGATACCTGGTTTATAATTTGGTACGCCGGACGAGCGTTTAGTCTGCATATAAGACTTGTCAGCGGCGCTAAAATTAATAAAAGTTGAAATACTAAAACATATATGAAGAAGAAGAGCAATAAACACTGAAAATAGATGTGCCAAATACGACTCAAGCAATATCTACCTTGGGATAGAAAAATCTTAGTGTTTCGAATTAATCTTCTATTGATAAACAAAACACAAATAAAAGAATAGGCAGAGGATAACAAAACCGACAAACAAAATCAGAAATCGAAGAAAAACAGGTATTCCATAACGGGAAATTGAATCATGATGGCGTCCGTTAAAACTGTTAAGATTCTCTAAAATAATGCATTGCTATTTACAGATTATGTACAATGATTTGATATAGAAATTAAAAGAAAAAACCAACCTGAAATATGACAAGGATTAAAATGTGCAAAAATGTCACTAATGAAAAGTACGGAATTCAAACAAAATGATAACGGACAATGAAATATTGTTCCTGTACGCCGAGAGGCAGCACACAACTATAGCACCAATATATTTCATTTGTATCATCCATTGTAGGATATTGATTTGGTTGCAGCACCATTAGCTATCAACTCATACAGAGAACAAGTAATGGACTTTACTCATCCATATTATTATGAACATTCAGGAATTGTCATCAAAAGACCACCTCATGAACACTGGAGAAAATTACTGAACCCCTTAAACGTAACAGTCTACCTATATATTGGAATATCTCTACCAGTAATAACTTTGCTCTTATTTCTCTTTGAAAAGTATAATCCATTTTACAGAAATATTGCTGGAAGAAAGATCATCAGAGGGTTACATCATTTCTCTGATGCATTCTGGTACATGTATGGAGCCTTACTTTGTCAAGGTATGTCTTTGTATGTTTTTGTTTATTTCTAGAAAACTTCTAATTTTCTAACTTGTATTGGTCAAATGATAGAAAATTATAAAAATTTATTGTATTTGTACATCAGGTACTATTCCTAAGTTTTGAAACAAATAGAAAATAAAAAATAAACAATTACTAAATATTGAATCATTATGAAAATGAAAAAGCCATCCGACTAACAGCATATACAGTGAATCAGCGATACGGACAGGAAAGTTTTGTACATATAAACTTAGGTAAAACAAAACCCCTAAAAACTTGAGAGTGATATTATATGGTTCTCAATATGTCAGATCAGTCATGTTAGTAAATAATTGAATTTCAAGTGGTTTCATTTGACACCTCTATATGGTGCTTTTTAAATTACATTACAGTTAGTACTGAAGCTTAACCGACCATAACATTATCTGATGACTAGTATACATTTTATGAAAACAATTTTTCAGTTACGTTACTTGAGTAGTTGTCTTTTTTTCCGTCAATGAAGTAAAACTTATATATTTCAATTTTTGAAAATAAGAAAAAAAAAAAACATATTGTTATTTTTGTTACTGATAGGAGGGGAGCATATTGCAGTATCGTCAGCGGGTAGGACACTTCTAAGTTGCTGGTGGATATTTTGTATTGTAATTGTTGCTACATACAGTGGAAATTTTGTGGCTTTTCTAACATTCCCGAAAGATAAGCTACCATTTAAAGATATAGAAGGATTGGTTGAACAGTCAACGTATAAATGGGGTACAGCAGGAGAAACAATTTATGAAACAATTTTCAAGGTATGAAATTTGATATCAGAATATTTAGAAATACAAACATGAAAGCACCTTTTGAAATGATAATGGTATACCTGTTTCATATCACATTATTGAACGGACAGTATAAAACTAGGTACATGTTATGTACACTCTCCTAAACAAACTCAACATTGATTGCCACGTAACCGACCTCAACATAATTCTGTACGACAGAATTTATCATAATTATGCTGTCATCGTATTTATTGTGTGTAAAGAGGTTAATACATTAAAATGGCAACATATGTATTAAATATTAAAGTTTGCTTTTTAACATTCAGTTAAAGTTTAGGTATATAATATCTAAATAAAATCAATTATCGTACTGTATTTACTTAGTACATTCAAAACCAGAGTGAGTGTTCTCCAATGATAATTATTCGAAAAACATACAATATTTATAAAAATTACTTTGACATCCCGAATGGAAGACTGAAGTATAAAATAGGGTTATCCCTTGTACATATCTTGTTCGGCAGAAATACACTTACTGAAATTGAGCGTCCGCTTGGCTGTGAAGGATATATAAATATGTCGCCACGTCCGGTCCGAAATTGGGACGATACATTTGATGGCTCGTATAGAGAGAGTACAACGCTACTGCACGATAAAGACCAGTAGCAGAACCTCTTTGAGTAGCCTGTAGGTGCCCTGTTGTGAGACAAAATGTCTATCAATATCTAATATTCCACCATTTTCAAGTGACAGACGAAATGCTAGTCCCGCATTCCGGTGGACCAACCTTTTGAATATATTGTGCATTTGTTATCGCCTTGAATATGCATGAAACATTTGCCACTGGACGTTAGTCGAACAATAATAAGGCTGGTTCTCTTCCTTGCAACGTATATCAGAGTCAAACAGATAAATTACAGGGAACTAGTCTAAACAATAACCAGTCAATCACATATTGTAAGTATTATCCAAAAAAACTGTAACATCGCTTGTTATTAACAAAACGGATGCTCGTTCAATGGATATACTTATTAATTTTATAAATGTGACATAATTTTTAAACAAAGTCGGTTTTTGTAAATGAAACGCAAATGTTAAATAAAGTGCATTAATCAATTTCGTATGTTTACGGCACGATCAGTTGTGTTTTGCATGTTTCACAAGTTTGAACTAAGTGCACATTGTATTATACATAATTATCCGCATGGAGAGACAATACCGAAAATAAAACAAAATATGGCCAGACATTTATTTTTATATTTATGAGATCATAGTTAATAATGTAAGAACACGAATCGTATCAAAACAAAAGAGTGAAATTCATGGCTGGATGTTTGGCACACATGAATTCATCACCCATCATCACGGTACCACATAATATCGCTGTTTAAATCATCACCAAATGTCAAACGTGTCAATTCATTAATGGACACATGTAAATAATTAACGATATTTTGATTATTCATGCAGAACTCCGAATTACCAGAAAGAAAGAAATTATGGAATGGCATGATAGGATTTAATCAAACAGACCCTTCTGTATTTAGCAGTGACCCTGCGGAACAAATACGAAAAGTAGAAGGCGGCAATTATGCGTATGTTGCAGATAAAACGTACATTGAACTAGCTATATCACACAAATGTGACCTGTCACTGTCACCGTCAGATATCCAGCCTATATTGTATGCATTTCCGTTACCCGAAACTTCTCCGTTTGTTAAGACATTTTCTGATGCGTGAGTATTTATTATTGTTGATATCAGAATATAAAAGGAAGCAAATAACAAAGGTTTACCAAAAAATAATTTGGAAAAAAACAGACAAATCCATCATCAAAATAGAAATACAAACAAACAGTCCATAAAACACTATACGGAGCCTGAAGTTAAGTGGTCTAAACATCCGCAATTAGACCATAATTGATAGTACAATAACATTGTTGCTTGGATTTTATGTTAGTTTTTTTTTCTACAGAACATTGTTTTGTTGACAACTGGTCTATGGAAAATTAAGAACAAGGGCAAATGAGATCAAATTAACTAGATATACGTCTTTATTTCTACGATTGTTAAAGGGAAAGGATTTTCTTTATATCTATTTTCTTTGTTAATTCATCATCATTGATATTATCATGATTTTAATGATTTTGTGTGTAAATCTCCAGTTCATAAAATTTGTAGTCGTGCCATAAGTAAGGTTGATCACAGACGTTTTCGACTTTTCTTTTAAAATCCTTTTGGTTTTTATGACTTTATCGGCATACCTGATGATGGTTGTTCACACTTGTCGGGTAGTAGGATGTGTGTATCATAAATAATTTCAGTTATTCATATCGGATTCAGAGAATGATATTTTGGATCGTATATATGATATGAATAATTTTTAGGTATTTATTTTAGACTAAATTTCTTTATTTGACGCCGTTTATGTACAAAAATATTGTTATTTTCCCCATTAGTTTTCAATTCAGGCAGATTTTTTACTTCTCTTATTTGACTGACAAATTTCATTTGTTTCTCATACTTGTAGCCCACTCCATGTTTCTGGGATAATTCTTAAAGGGTCATGACCGGCATTTAAGATTTTGAGAATACAAGGGTCATGTTATGCCTTTCCTGATAAATCTGAAAACTAGATAAGACCATTTCCTCAGGCAATTATCAACCATATACATTTCAGAATTGCACAACATTTCATGAGAGGATAGAAGTTTATTAAATATCCTTTGAAAACACTACACATCTAAGCACATTATAATTTAACTCTTGGTACAACAGAATGTAGATTTATAAATGAAACCAAAAAGCTATCAATATCCCTAACTCAATCTATACATCAAAAACAATTAAAGACTAATTTTTAAAAATAAATTCATTTTAATTTATTCTAGATTATAGGTTTTATTGTTTGTATATCTTTCAGTATAATTTCCATAGTCGATAGTGGACTGATTCAAATGTGGAAAATGAAAACATGGCCAAAGCCTGGACCATGTCAGCAATTAAATAGCACAGAAGCTAAGACTATTTTTCTAATAGACTTTCAAATTGCATTTTACATTGTAGCAGCCGGAGTAGTATTAGGTTGTTTATCTCTTCTCTATGAACACATTAAACTAAAATGTGGGATATGTATAGAAAAAAGGCAGCGAAAGAAGAAGGAAAACAACACAAATGGATTTAGAAAGTCTACTGAGTTAACTGACGTATTTTACTCTAATAGCCTTTATGACGATAACGATGATTCGCCAATGAAACTGGCTATTCGACGACAGGTTGGCTCTAGTGTGTCAAAAACTAGAAAACATAATATTAACGAAATATCAGTTATCGGAGTTTGTGACGATACTTCTGAGAAGTAATGTATCATCATGACTAATTGAAACTTTATATTTTTCATGATCAGCGTTAATATTTTTCTAGCAAAAATTAAAATTTTGGAAGATCGAAAATTTTATCAAACACTTATATATTATGTAACTAAATAATTATAAAATTATAAAAATTATAAACAAACGGATTGCCCTATTTTTAAAAAGCATTAATGCCAGTGTATTCTTTACTTCTCCATATTGCAGCACCATATTCAGTAGTCCAGACGTATAGACCACTTTTTCCCGTGTTTTTTTCATTTTTAAGATTACTTAATAATGCATATTATTATTATGATGTAATATTACACATGCTAATTGACTATTGTGTAATAATGAAAATTAAAAATAAAAATAAAATAGTTAAATGAATAAATGAATGAATAAATGAATGAATGAACAGTAGGTAACATCAGAAAATGTAATTGACTTAAAATAAAATAAATAGATATAAAATACCCACTCAGTAATAGCATATCTCCTATTCTTATCCATTTCTATATATCCTCAATTCATTTTTGAATTCATTTTTGTTTTCACAAAAAGAAAAAAAGCGGAAAAATTTAAAATTATAAAGACAAGTGAATAACTCAATCCGAATAGATGGAACGATGATACTCATAACACTATAGTGCTTATAAAGTACCTATATTTCAGTATAACATATAACACATATGTAGCTAATTAGAATAAAGATAAAACCTATCAATAATCAAAATAGAGAATACGTAGCAATAGAAAGTATTTAACCAATCTTTAATTCCATCTGTTGATAGTGCAAGTTCAGATTCAATATTTTATTAAAGTCTCACCACTTATAACACATATAATACAATCGTTATTATATATACATTGTATAAAACAGTAAACTCATCATCAGATAAAATATTAAAATCAACGTTACTTCTTTTAACTTCTTAAATAAACTTTCAGCAAATTTACATATAAAGTACAGTCTAAAAAAAAACATGTTTCTCATCTTCAATTTGATCATAACATAAAAAGCAAACTCTTTCATTTACAGTTTTATTTTCATAACGACCTGTTTCTATTTGCGAAGGGGCGACGCCACACCTAAATTTAGCAAATGCACTTCTGTATCGACTTGAAATGTTCTTCCTCAAATACATCTCTGTTTCAAAAATATCTTTAAACAATTTATAAGTCCGTAATTATTTTCCAACATTTTGTGACAATATTCTATTATGCCAATTTACTTTATAATTTTCAAATAAAAAATCTTTCAACTGTGTTATAACATTTTTATGCAACACATTCTCTAAATTAGTGCAGAAATCTAAAATACATTCTCTAAATTTTTCATAATTCTGTTACACCAGTTTTACTTTTCATTAATAACATTTCTTAAAGCCCATCGGAATACTTTATAATTCACTCCATCTGTTGACATAGCATTACATAAAGCCCAATGTCTAAAACCACAACTCCACTGCTTAATGCCTAGGTCACACATTCACGGATTTGACGCCGTATTAGCTACGGATACGATCCGGCATCATTCGTGGCAATCTGTATTGGTCTGTAGATTTCCGTATTGTAGCCGTAGTCATACGTAGTAGTACTTGTATATCCGTGACAATTTTTCAACATGCGCAAAATTTGACCACTGATCAAACAACCGTAGTATATCCTTACTGGAACGTATTAGAACTTACTGATCCGTTTTAGTCCCTATTAAAACCGTTTAATCCGTACTTATTCGTGGTCCCGAATTATTTCTACGGTTAGTTCCGGAGAACTACGTACTAGTACGGTTACACCACGTAATTGTTAAGGATATAATACCTTTTGTTACGAATTTGTCATGGAACGGCACGATCTCATTACGTTGCATTATGGATAGCTAGGGATCAGCCAGGGTTCTCAAAGTCTTTTACGATTTACTACGTTACAACACGACAAAATACGGAATAATACGGTCCACGACAAACTAACATCAGGCTTCTGTATAAATATTCCCTACTTATGGGACCCAACGTAGTCTGTGTCTTGCGGTAGAGGTATACATAACATTATTCAACATGAACAATCAACAACTGATGCTTGCAATATTAATTAGCTGGAATTGGATATTGATATGGCACAAAATGCCAGGGCAGTGTTCGAGCTACTTGATGACAGACGTAAAGGTGACCGGAGGCAGAGGAGATGGTGGACTAGGGACTGGCTTTTCCGACGACCTATCTATGGCCAGTATGAGGCCATAATGGCTGAACTTTGTGCGGAAAATCGGGCTGCATTTAAGAACTTTGTAAGAATAGACCCAAATATATTTCAAGAACTGCTACATGTCAATGGTCCGGGGTACAGACAGTCAATCGATTCTGGATTTAGGCTAGCAATCACCCTGCGATACTTGGCTACGGGGGACAGCTACCGGACAATGATGTATGATATCCGGGTTGCGCACAATACCATCTATGGTATTGTTCAGGACATCTGCGAGGCCATAGTTTCAGTGTATGCTGTGGATGTCATCGAGACTCCTACTGAACAGTGGCAGGCTATAATAGCTGAATGGTTTACAGCAAAATGGCAGTTCCCCCATACGTTGGGTGATCTAGATGGCAAACATGTAGCCATACTGTGTCCTAAGAACGGAAGATCCCTAGTCTACAACTATAAAGGATATCACTCAGTCGTGCTGATAGCCCTTGTCGACGCCGATTACAAATTATGGAACCAGAGTGACTTGAAGAAGGCCATTGAAATGGGGTAAATCGGCATGCCAACAGCAACCCCTCTTCCCGGTGACGACAAACCAATGGGCTATTATATCATCGCAGACGAGGATTTTTAACTACCGCTAATCGAGGGACAGAAGAGTTGTAGAGAATACCTTTGTTATTCTTGCAAATAGATTCAGATGTTTGCTCTCAGTCATGAACCGTGCACGTCATAGTTCTGTGCCTATACAACAACATTATGAGGGTCAGATATTCTGGTGATCAGAACCCTCTAATGGACCAAGAAAACGACGACCACCAAGTCATTCCCGGAGCCTGGAGAGATGGTGTCAACATGAACGATGTGCAGATCCCCAGGGGCGGTAACTTGGACTCCTTCGATGCAAAACAGCAGAGGTTATACCTAAAACATTACGTGAATTCTCCTGTCGGGTATGTGTCATGGCAGAATAAAATGGTATGAAGGATCGTCCTTTAGAACTGTCGAGCTTTGTTGGATATTATTAATTATTACACTGTGAAGTTTGTGTTGTTCCTTATTTCTATTTACGTATGCCTCATTGCTGAAGATAAATACCTAATTGAAATATGCACGTTATAGCACACTCACACACATAGAATTTATAGCTTTAATTAAGTACCAAACAACTACTATAATGGCAATGATTTGCAAATGACAACATTTGTTTATGATCCACAACTAAATGCGAAAATATTAAATAAATAATTCAAGAAACAATACAAAATAAACATCGATTCACTGCCATAAAGAAATGATAAATCGCCAACTTAATTAGAAATTATAAACGGCTTAGAAAATGTGGCGGTTTGTACTACTGTGGATTTATTATTATTCGTTGGATACCAATTTTTGTGGGTTTCGTGGGTACAGGTGAACCACGAATTCAAATGTTCAACGAATAGCATATTTCCAATGGGCTTTGTAGACAGAGTTCGGCAAAACCACGAAATCAAATATCCACGAAAATGCAAGTTTTCAGCAATCCACGAAAATTGATATCCACGAAAAAAAATGAATCCACAGTATTCCGTATCAGACCGTTCTCATTCGTACTAACCCTTACTTATACCGTAGCAAACCGCTGTTTATCCGCAGTACATACGCCCGACACGTGTCGTTGCGTATTAAAACGTGTCATTTCCGTATTAAACCGTGTCGTACCATGAGAATCCGTATCACTCATGTCGCCGGAGTCACAACGTTGTGCATCCGTATCGGATCCTTATCGGACTACGGAAACTGCATTTCCGGGATCATCCGTGAGATTTAATCCGTAGTGCAACCGGCGAGGTGATCCGTGAATGTGTGACCTAGGCATAACACATGGAGGTTTCCAACCTATATCCCAATTGATGGCGTCACTAGGTGTATATTTACCAAGACCCATAAAAAACGGATAGCTCTGTGCTGAACAGCATTTATACAAAAAAATCTTTAGTGCCCCAGATGACTGCACGATAACTTATAACTGACCAGACTAAGCTACATGTATCATATATTTACCAAGACCCATAAAAAAGCGGATAACTCTGTGCTGAACAGCATTTATACAAAGAAAATCTTTAGTGCCCCAGATGACTGCACGATAACTTATAATTGACAAGACTAATTTAAGCTACATGTATCAAAAAGTTTGGTATATGTACAAATGTATTAAAGTGAAAATCTCCATGTGCTTTACTCTTTACAATCAGTAAATTTATTGCTCTCCCTGCTGACCTTGCTACAGCTTTTGCCATCTCTTTATAATCAAGGAATTCGGTCTATTTGATATTTTGATACAATACACAATTGTTTTTCACCAAGTAAAAATATTACATTGGTTGGATGTACAGAGGGATTTCTAAAATAAACAATCTTTGTCTTTTCAAAGTTAACATTCAATAATTTATTTTTACACCATGTATTAAGAATTTCTATCATTAATTGTAAATCATTCGCATTTTCAGCAATTAATATAATATCATCTGCATATAATAGAATACCAATTGTGCATATCAGCATATCAAATATTAATAATTGTGAACGCCATCCACCTCTTTCGACTACACATCAGACTTAATTAAAATAGTAATGTATTTCAACAAATATTGATACAGTGAACATATGCATTTGATAAAAGATAAGCCCTTAGCCCTAATTGATTTGTATCGTTAATAATTTTAAGAGTGATCTACTTATTCATTCAAATGACCACAGGGAACACACAATCAGTACTACTTATATAAATACAAATACAGTTAACAATAATTACGATAAACTGTTTTTTTTTTATAATACATGTAAACTAAATATCAGTTCTGAAATATATTTACTAAAATTTCCTCTTTTTTCTAAATTTCTTTTTTTTTTTTTTTTGCTTGCTTATAAAAATAAAGAGATGTGGTATGATTGCCAATGAGACAACTATCCATCAAAGTTCAAATGAAGTGGATGTAAGCAATTATAGGCAACCGCATGGCCTTTAACAATGAGACAAACCCATACCGTATGGTAGGCTATAAAAATGCCCCGACATGAAAAATATAAAACAATTCAATTGAGAAAACTAACGGCCTAATATATAATAAAACAATTTACGTAAAATAAATATGTCAGACATGAACCAACGACAATTACTGAACTACATCCTCCTGAAATGGGACAGGCACATAAAGAATGTGGCGGGGTTAAACATGTTTGTGAGCGCTCAACGCTCTCCCCTAACCTAGGACAGTGGTGTAACAGTAGTAAGACATAAGAACGAACTATAAAAATCAGATGAAAAAGGCTTAACTCATTAGATGGATACAAATAGAAATACATCTAACAAAAACACAGAGTGGACGTGGACGGGTACTTATACAAACCCACAACAAAAAGACTTAAAGTACAGATCTGAGAGTACTCGCAGTTACTGACAGCTAGTTCAAAGCCAATAACAACTAATAAAAAAATCATGTATCTAAGACTAAAATATCAATCAGTACACATCCAACATCCAATGGATTTAGTGTAAAGACGTCATTAACAGTCAGAGAAAAACATGACCTTGTGCAATGCCAAAACTATAGGTATCGACAGATTGTAGTATCGTGATAGTACATATGTGTTATATTTAGTATGGTTTAAATCAATGATAACAAAATCAATATTTATACCAATAAAAACAATATTCAAAGATTTGATTACAGTGTTTTTTTGTTTTTGTTTTTGTTTTTGTATTTTTTGTATTTTTTTGTATTATATTTAATATTTATTCATTTTGTTGATGCTGTAAAATTTAGGTATAGGAAAAGTGCTATTTCAATGCAGAAATAGAGGAACTGGTTTGTTTAATTAACTTATCAAAATAAAGATAAAACCTATCAATAATCAAAATAAAGAATACGTAGCAATAGAACCAAAATTTAACCAATCTTTAATTCCATCTGTTGATAGTGCATATCATCATATCACAGATTAATAATTTTGTACGCCACACACCTGTTTCGTCTTCACATCAGACTTAAGATATTAATGTATTTCATTAAGTATTGATACGATTAACATATTTATTTGATAAAAGATAAGCTCTTCAAATGTGCAGATTTTGGCAGCATAAAATACCATATTTTCATTTATAAAAAGAAATATCCATTTTTCATTATCAGACATGAAAACAATTCTCCTCAACAATACTAGCATGATTAAAAATAACATAAAGAATATCTGAATATACAGGACAGGTTAACAAAACATGTTTTTCATCTTCAACGTCATCAGTACAGTTAAAACAATTTTATACTCTATTTTCAATATCAATATTTTCATAACGACCAATATTCAAATACCAATTCTGATGGGTTCTACACCACATCTAAATTTTGCTAAAGCACTTCTGTATCTACCAGGTATATTAAAAATCAAAATAATTTTCTACACCATATACATTTTTGAACATTCTTTATATACGTAATTTATTTTTATCATTTGACATAATTTTGTCATACCAATCTTCCTTAAATTTTTCAAAAGATACATTTTCTATATTCTTAATTAAATCTTTATTTAGAATAGCACCATTACACAAATATTCCATATCAAGTTCTTTAAACTTATTTTTTACTCTAAAATGCCAATTTTTTACTCTTTTACATGTGTAACCCCATATATACACTTTTTATCATTATTCATTTTATTTAATCTTGTCCAATTTCTAATAACACTTGTCCACTGCTTGATTTTGCATGGCATCCAGCCCATACAAAGACGTATTATGTGTGTATTTTCCTACACCCATAAAAAAGCGCATGGCTCTATTTTTTCCACTATTTATACATGAAAAATCACGTGTTCCCCATATAGAGGCACCATAATCTATTACAGACCATACAAGCGTATCAAACAATTTTGTAAATGTACAATATATGGAAACCATCGTTAGCTTTACATTTAGATATCAACAATCCCAACGATCTACTAAATGCTTTAGCAACTGCTTTTGACAAACCATCATAGCTTAAATGCTCAGTAAACAATAAACCTAAATAGGTATATTGGGAAACAATATCAATATTGTTACCATTAAAAAAAATGGAAAATTTGATCTAAATACAAACTGTGTTCTAAAATGTACTATTTTAGATTTTTCGAAATTAACAGTAAGGTCATTAGTACAACACCATATATTCAAAACATCTTATATTTTTTTGTAAATCACTCTCATTCTCAGTAATAATTACAAGATCATCTGCATATAACAACATGCCATGGTTATGATTTTCAATGTCTAAACCTATGATAATTATGATAATCACAAAAAAAAGGTGACAATAATTTTATGGCGTTTTGCATTTGCGCCAATCTGCACTTCATTTGCGCCAATTTTCAGGTAAACACATATCATGAGACATATAAAGCAGGCACATTTGAGTTTGATTTGTGGAATACCCCTTTAAAGAGACCTTGCTTCTTTTGGAGGGATTGTTTACGATATGACTGTCCGTGACATGAACTTTTTGATAGGATGAACAGAACGTGTGTCAAACACTTATCCATGAATTACCTTTAACCCGGAAATTTACTTTTATCCATTACCCTTAACCAGGAAAAAAAACTTTTTCAAAATATTTTTCAACAAAGCAAAATATTTTATAATGGGTCTTTTGATAGGATATATAGTAAAGTAAGAAATATTTTTTGATGAGTAGAATTATAATAATTGGAATAAAATGCACAAATTTTGAATTAATCCTATGTGTAAAGGGAGAATTCATTAAAAAAATTGTATTTAATGTAAAGGGAGACAACTGCAACGTATTACTCTTAAACGGAAACGTCGTATTTACTTTTTATCTAAAAAATACAATTTGTAAATATTGAAGGCACAATTTTAAAGGAGTATAGCTATTATAAAAAAAACATAAATACATATTTCAACACAAAAATACACATCAAAGATTATATCAACTATATAATAAATATTTATAAATAAATGAAACTCAAATGTAATTTTATTTCCTTCAACAATCTTGCAGTTTTAAAGTTCGAAACTAATTTTATTAAAGTATCCTCAGTAAACGGGAAGAATAGTTGTACCTCCGCAAACAAAGTGTTGATGTGTATATACACGAACAACTCTGTCTGTCCGTCGGCTTATCTACCGGTGTGCATTGTAAGCGCAACTTCCCCCTAAATGGCTGGGCAGATTTTTTATGAAAATTTCCACAGTTGCATAACACAACCTGATGATGTGCAGAATGGACTATTATCCCGGTCTAACATTTTAAAGTTGATAAAAAAAAAATTTTCTTTCATACACAAATAGTATTGTATGACAGGGTATATATCCTTTTTCGGGTTCACTCACTCACAGATCCAGTCTTTATCGAAAAGTAATACATTAAGATATACTTGAGTGATATATTTCATTAAAACATATATCATGCATATACGTGTATGACTGTTATTTTTTTTTAACTCATTTAAGAAATGAATGCTTCGTTCTGTAATTTTATTGGGTTGTAAAAGTGTTGACTGAAGCACATTTTGTATGAAGCGCCGAAGCACTTCATTCTAAAAGTGTGTGCACGATAAACACTTTTACAACCCTTACAAATTACTAAAAGAAGCATTCATTTCTTATAATTACATTTTTATGCTAAAAGCATGAAAAAAACACCAAGTTTTTCTTTTTTTGGCTTGTGCACATTTTCGTGGAAGCACGTGTCATTACGAATGTAACATTTCATCTTGATATGAAGGTTTATTTTCGAAAGACGAGCGATTGTTGTTAGCCAATCAAACAAAGGATTCTCGTGAAACATACATGTAATGTATTTATATTAACATGGCTATTGTCATCACTTGGCTCGTGAGCGTCGTCGTCTTCGTACCTTTGTTCGATAACAATAAAGATGGGATCGAAACTGTAAAATGATAAGCAATGCTAAATTTCTTTTTTTAAATCTGAGCTATTCAGGTTCTTATGAGACACTGTTGATTACAGGTAGCTTGCAATTTCAGTTTGACGAAAAAAAACCACTTTACTGAAATATCCATGAGAAATATTTTCTCTCAGAAATACACAACAGACTAAATAGCTGCTTCTGAATATAGTGTAAAGTTCTTCTCTACTCAGTACTCTTATCCTGGAAATATGAGTGAGTACTCATTTGACAGAAATTCAACCAACAGCTTGCAATTCCTCCGCCCCCTCCAAACCCTCGGCCCCAAGGAGACGACTTACTATATAGAGATACACTAAAACTTACCAACACGTAATTAGATTACAGCTTCATCTGACAAATTAAGTCTGTAAAAAAAGATTTTAATATTTCATTCTTTGTGGATATTACTCCCAAATAATTTTACATTTTGAACGGACAGTCGTGCCGAAGGGATAATTCTTTTGGAACTCAGGACTTTCTTTACGGTACGTATTAATTAAGAGACACTAATTCATATAATGATACGACTATGCTATACTTATTTAGATTATATCTTCTTCATTTAAATTGTTCTTGCTTTAGTCTGCAATTTGTCATGTCAATACTCTTATCCTGTCTTCAAAAAATACATTGTTTCTTGTAATTTGGGGAGGGTTACTGCTAACATCATATATTACATATATATAGATGAAATAATGAACCTTTGAACTAACAGTCGTTTGGAAAGGATATTTCCTATATACCTCCAAATTGTTTGCAAGACATGTAGAACTGCAACACATTTAACAAAAACACCACTAGGACCGTATTGTCCTTTTCACAATACACAGAAATATCGATAACACAAATGAATGCAATATTTTCTGGATAATGCTTTTCTTCCGAAAAGGTCTGAAATATTTATACTTCAATTTTACTTTATATGTCATTATCCTTATCACGGAAATACTCAAGTGTTCTACATTTGTACAGTGTAATACAGTGTTACTCATATTCTGGGAAAACTTTTCCTTTCTGAGACTACTCCTATATACCTCCAAACTTTACAAAACGTATCAATACGACAAAATTTGCAGAAATAAGATTAAACAATGGTTAACTTATGTATATAAAAATAATAAGATGTGGTATGATTGCCAATGACACAACTCTGCACCAGAGACCAAATGACATAGAAGTTTACAACACCATACGGCCTTCAACAATGAGCAAAACCCATACCGCATAGTCAGCTATAAAAAAACACAAAATGACAAATGTAAACCAATTCATGAAAGAAAACTAACTACCTGTTTTATGTACAAAACAATGAACGAAAAACAAATATTATACACAGCAACAAACGACAACCAATGAATTAATTACAGGCTCCTGACTTAGGACAGGCACCTACAGAATGTTTGCATATTTAGACTTTACCATTACCTGAATTAGTTGGAAAAATCAAGCCTACAATTTTATCTTGCCAGTATTCTTATCAGGAAATATGTTATGAAGTTGAGTAGTTGTTGCAGAGAAAGGGTTTGTAGATGTGATGCTTTCAGTTATCTCCCTTTTCTTTTCAAAATGACACAGTATTGTTTCTTATATTCTGTGCAAACTGCTCAAAAGGAATAGAAATAAATAGGCTTTCGAATCGTGGTACATATACTAAGTCTTTCCTTCAGAAATTATAGAATCGTTTATACGAATGCTTAATATCAGACAGACATATACCCGTATAAAAAATAATCTGTTCGATTCCGTTTTACCGGTATATAAAAGTCAAAATCTAACGTGCATATACACGTTAGCGCCGTCAACTTTCAGATGATCCGTTTATAAACGTCTGTCTTTCCACTTT